CGACCTGTCCAGCCAGAAGGACCAGTCGGCAACCCCCTTCTGGAAGATAACACCACGCTGAAAGAAGCCTCAATGACAGACTCCAGCGCCTGTGGGATAGGTATACCTGACTCTTGTAGCTTGCTACTGTGTGTGTGCATGTGTGCGCATGTGTGTGGAAGGACCAGCCCCAAGGATTATGATTTAACTCATTACAGTGTTTCATTCTGCCTAATAAACCAGAATTTTAAGGCTCCCGAGTTGGACATTTGTAGCCAACATTATTAGGGCACATTCAATTAATTAACTCCTCTGGAAGATACTACTGTCCAAGATAAGTATTAAGCTGCAGTGGAGTAGTTAACGTGCTCTGAAATGCACATGTGGATGGTGACTGGGCCTGACTGGGGCATGAGGGTGCTATAGTGTGGGGGCTGCCTGCTGGCTGCCTCCACACTGTAGCACCTTTTTGCCCCAGCCAGCACCTCTGCAGCACATTGAGCCAGGGCAGAGCAGCCCTGGGCTGGGAGATTGACCTCCCAGATCCGCTCTTTGCTGCGGTCCCATGCACACATGTAAACACTATGCCCAGGATCAGTAAACTCCGGTACAAACTACACTGGAGTTTATTGTTTTGTGTTAATTGCATATATAGATGCACCCAGTGAGTATGAGAGTTACTGGGTGCTCAGTGCTTTAGAACCAAGGTTCCCAGCCACTGGGCCATGGCCTGATACCAGGCTGCAGCGGGTTAGCTGCAGGGTCATGGCACGAGCCCCCCACCCAGAGCCCCATCCATCTGCCCAGCTGAGCGGGTTCCAGGGTCACATCTGAGCTTCTGGGGTTAAAGCTGGGTGGTGGGGAACCCCAGGAGGGAGGCAGCCAGCTCTGTGCACTCTGTCCCACTCCTGCTGGGCTTCAGTAAAAAAAAAAAAAGTTGGGAACCACTGCTTTAGAAAACCTCATACTAGGTATCTATATATGGACTTAAAAGACTGAAAAGCATATAAAGCCTTCAGTTTTAAAGATCTTGTCCATAGCTTTGTGTTCTAGATAGGCAAACAAAAGCAGGTTATGGCTCTACTGCTACAAAAGCTTCCCATTTAAATCATTGGATTTTCCAGTGTGTGATATTTTTAGTGCAAGACCTTAAAACTAGTCAGGATTTTGGGGGGGGGGTTTGGTCTATGACTCTCTAATCCACTGATCTGATGGCAATCATCTTCCCATTTTAAGCTGCAGAGCATAAGAGACTAATTTGATGCTAGTAATAGTTCAAAGTTGCAGATGTGTTCTTTGAGTTTATAGTAATCTATTTATACTTCAAACGCAGGAGCAATGTATAGAGTTATTTTGAGATAAATTGAGGTTCATCATTTTTAGTAATAGCTTTGTTTTCATGCCTTGATTAACAATGTGGTGCCTACATGTAAGGAAATATTCTGTTATTGTCTCTCAGCCCCTCCGTTCCACATTTGTCAAAGAGAGAAACAGTCTGAAATCAAGTTTACTCCATGAGAGAATTCTAAATGTTCTGTCTGGTCTTACTTAGGCCTGCAGTGTTGCATGCAGTTACTTGCAGATCCAGTTCAACTCGTTCAGAATAGACATCTCAGTATCTGGTTTTTACTCAATTAGCTGCTTAACTATCTATACATTATTCTTTCCAATATATTTTTTGTTAATCTCATAGGTCAAATTTTGTAGGAGGAAACAAATGTGCATCTCCTAAAATGTCCTCATTGCTGTCATTTTAAAATAATTATATTTTTGTTTGATCAGTTTTTAATTGAATCTGAATTTCTTTTCCCTGACTCAGACTAATGGTAAGTCTATTTAGACTGCAGTATCACTACATCTTAAAGCCCATACACTATCAAAAGCAACAGAAATTATACTTCTGCTATTGTGCAGGAATATCAAAGCACTCTACAAGCTTCAGTTTCGTGTCAGTTGAATCCCACCAGGGGAAGTAATATTTAACCCCTTTTTATTAAAGGGTAATTGCGGCACAGACAAGTTGAGTTCTCATAGTTCATAGAGCAAATTTCTGACAGAGCTAGGAATAGAATTCAAGTCTCCTGACTGGCTGCCAATAATAGAAATAGAGATACCCTCTAGGCAAAATACAAATGCATGAGGAGTACTTGAAACTTGACAACACAAAGATATTGCATACTTTCTGCAAATGTGTCACTCCAATATGCCTGACAAAAATAGCCCTGAGCATGGAAGGGGCACCTACAGAAGTAGGCTGATGAAGAATAGTGGGAGTATACAGTGGAAGGCCATGTAACAGTGTTAATATGATCAAGTAATTTTAATTGGTGAATAACTATTTGACTGAATTGGTTTTCATCCATTTTTTTTCTGGTAGTTCCCTCTGAGTTAGTAAGTGTAATGTTCTCAAAGATCTATTTATGTATGTTTTATTAATTTGCTAAGAGGTTATGAATTTTGCATATTTATACCTCTATCAGCACTTAACTGTATTCTTTGGCATGCTCCTTGTGCTAAAAAGATAAAGGCAAGTACCTATATATCTGTTTTTGAATAGGATGTTTGTTATAGATATCACCTGAACAGATGTTATCTGAAAAGAACAAATACAGAGGTAATTGACCAGGGAATTAAAAACAAAAAGGATGAGAAGTTGAGAAGGAACTTAAAACAGTAGGGTTTCTTTTTTCTTTTCTTTGGATTATCTGACTAGCTGGAGCTCAAGGACATTGACTCTAAGGGTCACAGAAAGAGAAAAGAAAAGTCCCGAGATAGAGGACTGCAGTCCAACAGAGGCGCAGGGATGGAATTGTGAAAGGAGTGCTCCCAAAGGGTGTTCAAGAGTGCTGAGAAAAGGGAAACAAGGAAGAACATATTTGTGTTTGTTTTACTCTGGATCTTCTGCATTGTGATTGTTTTAGGAATCTATTTGCACAGTCTGTATCTGTTTCACCTATCATATGCCCCTGAAGGGATAAGGTATAAATCTAAGGGTGCAGACAGAAGTGCAGCTCCCAGTGTAACTCAGAACGACTTCTGCAAAGTTATTCTTGCAAAGTGTTCCTTGTTACAAGGTTACCTCAGACCAAACAGAAGTTCACTTTTGGTTCCAGGGGGGAGGGGAACCTGGCTGCTGGCTTGGAGCCTGCAGCCTGGTCCTCACAGCAACTGCCAGGTTCTCTGCCTGTGCTGGGCTGTTTTCAGAATGGGAGGGGGAAGCAGCAGAGAGCTCATTTTTGGGGCTCCCCAGCTGCTGCTGAAGGATGGGGTGGGTGAATTGGAGCCCTCCCACCTCTGCGGGGGAGGGCAGGCAATACACCCCCACCCCTCCTCCAGGAGGGACTGAAAAGAACCCCAGTCTGAACTCCCTCTCCTCCCTTTCCCATTCTGAAAACAGGCTGGGAGCTCCACAGACACAAGTTACAAAAGATGCTACATTTTGAAACATTTTTGTCTGATACCTCATTCAACAAGGGATCAGGCTTTTACCCAATCAGCCATTTTTGAAGCTGTCTGTAGCCATGAATTTTTTGGTCACAGCTATAAACTGCTTTATGTGGCCAGATAGGTTACAGACAGAATCTCCTTTCACCCAAAGTGCTTGAAAGGGCTCTGGGAACAGGTATTTCTGCTTCAGCTACTGGGAAATTCTGTGACTTAGAGTTGCTAGGCTGTAGTGACTTACTTTCAAAAGGGAAACCAGAGAGTCCAAGCCCAAAACATCTGCCAGAGGAGCCAAAGAGATGGTGCTGGAAGCCATCCAAATCAGGAACATTTAAAAGTGCATTGGCTTAGCATGCGGGTCCAATCCCTGCAGCCCACAGAATGTTCATCAGAGAAGAAAGGTGACAGGTGACAGCATTTTCCAAATCAGGCCTTAACTTGCAATACCAAGATTAGCCGAGTTGGTGTTTAAGGGACACTGTCAAATCAAATTGTGCCCTTGAGTTTTTTTCTGTATAAATAAGCTCTGTTAATTCTCCCAGGGAAGATGTTGAAAAGAAACACGATATCCTAATAAATGAATTAAATTCCAAGGTCGTGACAACTGTAATAATTAAAACTTCACTATCCTAACAAATCATGAAGCACTGGTTTCAGTAGGACATTCACAACTGCTCCTGTAAGCAAGTTGTTTCAAACCAAACCAACAACAGTTGGTGTGTGTGTGTGAATAAAGGCCTCCACATGCCCTACATTTTCACCAGTTGCATCAGTATGACATTGCCTGTGGGGAAATTGGCCTCTGGGGTACAAGAGAGATTATTGTTAGAATTCAAGTACACAGATGTCTAGGAGGGATTGGGATCATGCCCATAAACTTGCCACCTAAATTTCCTATGTGTTCCTCCTAGTCCATAAATGCATGGAAGGCAGGTTAGCATCTGGCCCATGATGTGCCCACTAATAGATTGCAACCTTTGTATATCTTGCAAAAAATAAAATAAAATGCAAGTCAGTTGAGTGAGTTTTACAGTTAACTGGAGGAGGAAGGGAATTGTAACCAAACTTGGAACACTGTAGGAAAATTGACAAGCTGTATGGTATACACTTAATTGCAGAATGTAACTGCTATATCTACTGAGTTAATATAATTGTAAAAGGCTTGAGTATTTCTGATTCTGAGATCAGTGAAAGAAAAGCAAGAACACTGCTGTAAACAAAACATGCTTGTCAAATAGAAGGTAAATTATATTTGAAAAATGTATTATCTATGTATTATCAAGAATTCATTGTAATGTTGTAATAAAAAGGTTGCCCACATTTTATATTAAAAATAATTGAGGAAATTTTGACAGTCAAATAATGAACGGAATACTGTCACAAAGCATAACATAATTTAAATTGTGTTCTGTGGCATGGAATAATGTTTGTTCTATTTCTGGATGTGATACTTTTACTCATTCTGGTTTTTGTCAACCTTAAATAAATGAGTTTTTCACTGATGGTGGGCATGATTAGGTTAGAATTCCATAGGTTGTTTACAAAGAATAAAGTTATACTGTTGTTTTCTCTTTTAGAGTGTTTTTGAGAGCAATCAATAAATTTGCTGAAACTATGAATCAGAAATTTCTGGAGAACATGAATTTTGAAGAACAGGTAAGACTTAGCTGTTGTTTTTTTGTGTTTTTTTTTACTGTGTGCTTATTTTTTGTCCAGCAAGATCTCTTTAAAGTGATTCTAGTCCAAGAAGTGTTTATGTAGAAGTAGAAGCATCTTACTCTTTACATGTCCTTTCATTGCATCTGATAAAAATCAGCTCTTACTCATGAAAGCTTATGCATCTCTAATAGCTGATTCTGTAAGGTTCATGTCTACCCTGCATTCAGTTTTATTCAACTGATACATTGCTTGTATTAAGGTTTTTGTGTATTGCTTTTACCAGAACAGATTTGACACAGCCAGGATAGAATTAGTGTCATTCTTTTCTTTCTTGTGCATTGTCAATAGAATTACTAACCATGTGCTACAATTATGCAAACGTATAAAAAAGGTTCATATATGTGTAACAGGGACATATTTTTGCAGTGGAGGACACTACACAAATGTAACTGAGTGTATAATATAAAGTAATGGTGTTGCATGGGTATAAGGGCTGGCTCCTGTGAGTATTTAAAATAGTGGCAGAACTCCCATTAAGTACAGTGGTTCATGATCAAGCCTTTAGCTAAGACACAATTTGACCTGAACACTTATCATTATTGATGATGATACATGGAAAGTAAGTATAATTTGCAGCATGATTCTCAAGTTGTCTTTTCAGAAATGGCAGTTAGAAAAAGTATTTTTTCCTTAACAAGGGAACACATGCAATGCTGCTATCATTGAGGCATAATGAACAGAATTATTATAGCTTTTATAAACTTGGGGCATCAGTTCAAATTTGTTTTGACCTCTTGACTATTTAAGAAGATTGTTTTAAATCTTGATTCCTAAACTAGTCTCATTTTGTCGTTGTTCTAGAACTTTTCCCCCTTCTTTCAAAATTTACTTCAAAGTACCCTTTACTTTATGTCACTTTGTTAGTCAAGAAACCAACTTAAGTATGCAGTCACTCTTGACACTAGTGTTATTAACAAGGCTGAATAAATATTTATTTGTTACTTCATGCATAATATAGTATTATTCATCTTGCTTTCTCTGGATAAATTTAAATCTAACTTATTATTAAACAAGAATGAAAAAATCCCAATATACAGATAACTACTGCATAATACAACTGGGATTTGTAGACAGAAGCAGTTCTGTAACAGAATATGTAATATGAAAATGGGTTTATATATATGTTGCCTTTCCTCTCTTTTTATATCAACTGTAGCTGTAAGTAAAAATATGTCTATACATAGAAAATGTACAGAGTTAAAAGAATCCAGCCTCCTCATTGGTTTTCAAAATTTCATGCTGCCTCCTTTGTATATGTTAGACATGGGATATTACAAGGTTGTGCTTGTTGGTGATTTATATAGGTAAGTATTATGTACTTGAGATCCTGCTTGTCATTTTTAGGAAGTGTGTGAATGTAGGTCTCTAAGAACTAATTTCCTTAATCACATTTGTTTAAAAGGGAGGGATGGTAAGGGCATACAATATATGAAAATGCATGGTAATAAAGGATTGAATGAACCTTGTCCAGACTCTTGACATTGAGCTAAATCAAAACTTTATGTTTGGATACTATGGCCAAAGTCATTATTAGGGTGACTCAAAGCAAACAAGTAAATAGAATATGAAAATGCAAGAAACTTGTCTTATTTTTTATATTATAAAATGTACCAAAAATAATTTTAATAGAATATTTAAAGCAAGGTTCTCAGGTGCTTAGTAGCTGAAAGATGGAATTATGTAGCTGCTGTTCCCTGCCCCATTTGAGGAACAAGCAGGAGGCTTTGCCCTGCTCTGCTCTGCTGTTTTCCATTCCTGGGGCACATCCACACATGCAAGCATGTGTGCTTGCAGGAGCTCAAATAGAAGCAGTGCAAATTTGAGCCGGGGCTTTTTGCCTCAGCGCATGTGCTCAGACATGTACTTTGTTGTGGAGCAAATTGTGCCACTTGGAGCAAAATAACCCTGCCTGGCTCCTCCCAGATCTGTAGCCAGGGGAAGTTAAAGCCCAGGGCCAGCACCTGCGCTGTCTCCAGTAGTATAAAAAGGTGCCCTGTCCTGGCACCTTCAGTACAAAAAGCTGCCCTGGCAAGTAGATCAGGGTTTCTCGCTCTCAGGAGCTTCTGCGGCCCAGCCAATTGGCACCTGGGGACACTGCCCCTTGTGCCAGCTGGACTGCTGCAGCAGCCCTGAGAGTTCCCTGCACCCTTTACCCACTGCAGCAGTCTGGCAGTGGGGGCTGCTGCCTGGCTGTGACCTGCTGCGTACCTGCCAGACTAGGATGAGATCTGCCCCTCTGGGCCAGCTGTCAGTGGGCTGTGGCTGCAGAGTTGGCCTTTGTGTGGCACTGGTGCCATTTGTGCCCTGTGCCTGGCCATCTGGACAGCTATTGCCCAGAAGATGCTCTGGGTGTGGTGGCCTGCTTTGAACTGTCATAGTTTCATAGTAGCTACAGTCAGGAGCGACCTGAACAGATCATCTAGCCTGACCCCTGCCACAGGGAGCAATGAATGCTGGGTTCACAAGACCCCAGACAGGTGATCATCCAACCTCCTCTTGAATATTCCCAAGGTAGGGGCGAGGACCAATTCCCTATGAAGTTGGTTCCAGATCTTGGCCACCCTAACTGTAAAATATTGCCTTCTGATCTCCAACCTAAACCTATTCTCCATCAGCTTATGACCATTGTTCCTCGTCACCCCAGGTGGTGCTGGGGAGAAAAGGGCTCTGCCTATTTGCTGTTGATCCCCCTTAATGAGCTTGTAGGCAGCCACCAGGTCCCCACTCAGCCTCCTCTGGCTAAAGCTGAACAGGTTCAGGTCCTTCAGTCTCTCCTCGTAGGGCCTGTCCTGCTGCCCTCTCACCAAGTGGGTGGCCCTCCTCTGAACCCTCTCCAGGCTGGCCACATCCCTTTTGAAGTGCGGCGCCCAGTACTGGAC